TGAGAGGTCTTACAGGATAAGAGTTGGGAGTCTCAGTGCCAGAAACCTGACTCTCCTACTCAATTTTTTCCTCTCTGCTGCAGCGATTTTCTCATTCTCCCTGGGTACATAGACTTCACTGCAGACCAAGTGGTGAGTATGATCAGAAATTGGGTTCTGAACAGAATGGGCTAAGGTGCTTGCAGTTGCCTGTTTTGTTTCTTTATCAGATTGGGTTTGGAACAGATTTTATGGAATGGTATTTTTGGCTGGCATGCAAATAATATAGAACCTTTTTAGGGGGAACTAGTAGCACTCTGAAGAGGTAATTTACCACACTAGTGGCCGTTTGTCTGTAGGATCTGACTTCAGCACTGACTAAGAAGATCACACTCAAGACCCCACTGGTTTCCTCCCCCATGGATACTGTCACAGAAGCAGGGATGGCCATTGCAATGGCGGTGAGCCTCATGGGGTTTGGGAGAAGCCGGGGAGTGTCTCCCTTAAAGACATGTGGACACATTTCTGTTTTGTTATCTATTCCCTGTATTTTGTTCATCTTGTAGCTCACAGGAGGTATTGGGTTCATCCACCACAACTGTACACCTGAATTCCAAGCTAATGAAGTTCGTAAAGTGAAGGTCAGAAGGGCAAGGGTCATGACCTGGAGCTCCTGGGAATTAGATTGGGGTAGCAGTGGGGGAGTTCTGTTAGTTTAGGGTCCTTTCTCCCTACTATAGGTTCAGTTAATGACAAAGACCTGAGATGGTTCTTAAACTAAGAAGACAGGGCTGGCCAGATAGCTGAGTGGATTAAAGCACTTGCTTAGGCAGATGCTTGGGTGGGGTTAGATCCTTGACCTGCCTGGCCAACCCTGCACCAGGGCACAACAGTTGAGGCAGGGTGTGGTGTCACGTGCCTGGCATCCCAGCGCTTGGTAGACTGAAAAACAGGAAGGATCACTAGGAGTGTAATGAGACCCTGTACTAAAACACATTAAAATAAACTAGGAAGACAGAATTGGGTGTGGTGGTGCACGCCTGTAATCCCAGCACTGTGAGGGTGAGACAGTAGGATCACTATGAGTTTCAGATCAGTCTGGGGTCTGCAAAAGTGAATACAAGGCCATCCCTGTATAGAGAGACCCTGGCTAAAAATAGAAAAACTGGGGATCACCTGTACAGTGCCTCCAACCTACTACTCCTGTTGTTCAGAATTACTCCTGTAGTGCCAGAAGGGTACCTCAGTCACAGACCTGGGCATTAGACGACGAATCTGAAAGTAGTTCAGAGGTACAAGGCACTTTCTTTATCCCTTCCAGAAATATGAACAGGGATTCATCACAGACCCTGTGGTTCTCAGTCCCAAGGATCGAGTGCGAGATGTTTTTGAGGCTAAGGCTCGGCATGGCTTCTGTGGCATTCCCATCACAGATACAGGCCGGATGGGGAGCCGCTTGGTGGGCATCATATCCTCGAGGGATATTGATTTTCTCAAGGAAGAAGAGCATGACCGGTTTCTGGAAGAGGTGGGTGGCACTGGCAGAAAATAGCCAAGCCATGGCAGCCCAGACAGAGCAAAGGTAGCTTCTACTTTCCACTTGACCTTTTTTTTTTTTTTTTTTTTGCGGAATTGGGGATTGAACTCAAGCCTATGCGCTTGCCAAGGAAGCGCTTATTCTGCTGAGCCATCTCCCTGGCCACTACCTGACATCTTTGAGGACCTCTTATGTGCAGGAAAAATGACCAGCCATGTTACTGTTTTATAGGAATTGTCCCTTTTCTTCCCCTTGAAAGGGCTTGCTAGTATTCATGTTTTGTTCCTTGCTACCAATAAGGTAGGACAGTGCCCACACACCATCAACCTTCTTCTCCTGGTATTTGCCGTGCTCACGTGTGGTATGTCCCTAAGGCACAAGCGGCTGCTGTATTCTGGGCACTGTTGAGGTCTGTAATGCAGGTTTATCTGGATTCAGATAGAAATTTGGGGGTTCTAGACCTTGCTTTGAATTAGGACAGGGCTGACTGGAGAGCTTTGATCTCTTGACTGGCCCTCTTGCATAACTCCCCTCCTTCCTAGATCATGACAAAGCGGGAAGACTTGGTGGTAGCCCCTGCTGGCATCACACTAAAAGAAGCAAATGAAATTTTGCAGCGCAGCAAGAAGGGTGAGTCCTGAGGTGGGAAGGAGCCTAGAACTAATGCTCGTGGTCATGACCCATGCCCTATCCTGGCTTTAGGAAAGTTGCCCATTGTAAATGAAGATGATGAGCTGGTGGCCATCATTGCCCGGACAGACCTGAAGAAGAACAGGGATTACCCACTGGCCTCCAAAGATGCCAAGAAGCAGCTGCTGTGCGGGGCAGCCATTGGCACTCACGAGGATGACAAATATAGGCTGGATTTGTTGGCCCAGTCTGGTGTGGATGTTGTGGTTTTGGTAAGCTACTGCATAAATGTGCTGGGACAGTAGGGCCAGTTGTTATATCACAGTCTGATTGGGACTACTTTTCTGTTCCAGGACTCTTCCCAGGGCAACTCCATCTTCCAGATCAATATGATCAAGTACATCAAAGAAAAATACCCTAATCTCCAAGTAATTGGAGGCAATGGTAAGACTGGGACACTGGTGCCTCTGGTATGGGATGGGAAGGGCTGGGCTCACACCTGGACCCTCATGTGTCTGTCCCTTTTCCATTACTGTAGTGGTCACTGCAGCTCAGGCCAAGAACCTCATCGACGCAGGTGTGGATGCCCTTCGGGTGGGCATGGGAAGTGGCTCCATCTGCATTACCCAGGAAGGTGAGAATATACACTAGCAGGACCCAGAGACTGGCTTCAGATCCCATGTGCCCCAGGGCCTAGCATTCTAATGGGAACTTTGCTGAGTTTTCCATGATGGGCAACTCTTGGGCCAAAGGGGCCTCTTGGATGGGTGATATGGCTGGAAGCAAGATGAATTCTTGTCATCCCTCATCTGCTACTTCCCTACCTAGCCTGGCCTCCTTGCTCCTGCTCTGTGCCCTCTCTAAACTGTGGTCTGTTTGTTTTATTTAGTGGCTCCCAAGATCCCTCCAGACATAAAGTCCCACAGCCCCAAAAGCCCTTCTACTGTCACGGGCTGCTATAGTAAGTCCGGCCCGGCCCAGTTGCCCACTGCCCGGCTGCTTGGTTGACTGTAGCTGTAGCTCTCAGGGTTTGTGGTGCTGATGGGTGGGCAGGGCAAACAGATGTACAGACCATGTTTGGGGCTGCTTGGGATCACAGCTCCCTCTTCCTGGGTTGCTCAGAGCAGGAACTAGGCTTTCCCACATCTTATGATAGGCGTGGTGTGAGGACCTACTCTGGAGCCTGCTCTCTCTTACATATTACCATTACCCTGATCTTGCCTGAGCTGTCCACTATGCAGGGGGAGACGGGTTGGGCCTGACTTGGTGCCTCTGGGTACTAACTGCACGAAGACTCTGGTCCCATCTTGCTACTAGCTGGGACTGCATGTGCCTGAGGCTGCCCTGGGCCCTGTACACATGCACGTGCATATGCAGCATATGCAGGGGTGAGGTCAGCGCAGCTGTTTTATACAGTTCACAGCAGATGGGGCAGCAGCCATCCAGATACCTCTTCATGAGTCAGGCTGTCTATCATCCTGGTGCAAATGTAGCCAAGAGCTCCTGGGTACCAAGACTGGCTTGTTGCCTGTCCCCACTGACCCCATGCTTCTGTTGTCTTACCTACAGTGTTGGCCTGTGGGAGGCCCCAAGCAACAGCAGTGTACAAGGTATCAGAGTATGCAAGGCGCTTTGGTGTTCCTGTCATTGCTGATGGAGGAATTCAAAACGTGGGTCACATTGCCAAAGCTTTGGCCCTGGGGGCCTCCACAGGTGAGGTCCGATACCCAGAGCCTGGTGGGACTCCTTCCTCATACAGTTCAGCCTGCCTCAAGCACTTTTACTGTTCACAGTCATGATGGGCTCCCTACTGGCTGCCACCACTGAAGCCCCCGGTGAATATTTCTTCTCTGATGGAATACGGCTAAAGAAATACCGTGGCATGGGTTCTCTTGATGCCATGGACAAGCATCTTAGCAGCCAGAATCGTTACTTCAGGTGGGACAGGCAGAACAGACCAAATCTCCTACCCTGACTCTGCACTGCCAAAGTCTCAATTGTTGTGACTTTGCCTTTTGTTTCACAGTGAAGCTGACAAAATCAAAGTGGCCCAAGGGGTGTCCGGAGCTGTTCAGGACAAGGGGTCTATCCACAAGTTTGTCCCTTACCTGATTGCTGGCATCCAGCACTCCTGCCAGGACATTGGTGCCAAGAGCTTGACCCAAGTCCGGTGAGTTGGGGTGGCAGGGACAGGGTAAGAGGGTTCTAAGGTCAGCTACTGACAAGCTGCAGCTGACACCTCCACCTCCTCAGAGCCATGATGTACTCTGGGGAACTGAAGTTTGAGAAAAGAACATCCTCAGCCCAGGTGGAAGGTGGTGTCCACAGCCTTCACTCGTAAGTGACCCTGGGTGGGAGCTTCTGCCTTGCCTTGCCTTTCATCTTGAGCTCATTAGGTGGTCTCTGCTTACAGGTATGAGAAGCGGCTTTTCTGAAAAGGAATCTATCATACATCTTGGTTTTTCAATAAAAGTTTGGAAAATAAACAGGCTGCCTGGTCTTTGAAGTTAGTAGATGTGTGTGTGGCTCTGCATACAGCACTCTGTCCCCAGGAGGTGCCCTCGGCCTTGGATAAGGGTGCCCCAGGAACCTGGGTGGTAGTTCTAGTTCAGAGTTCTTTCCTGGCTGGGAGCAGGAAGATGTGGGCTCCCGGGATGGTCAGTGGAACTGTGAACTGCTTGACTTCCTGTGAACCCCGAGACGTGAATACATATTCTTAACTAAAATAAAGGCTTACAGGGAAAACCACTGGAGTTTCCTCATCTGCATGTGAGCAAGTAGATCTTAAGTGTGACTTGGTTTCTTATCTCCCACACCCACTGACCCAGCAGCCCATGGCTAGCAACACACTTGATACGAAGGAAGACAGGTATATAAATTACTATCCTGGTAAGCTGATGTTACAGTGTGCCCGTGGGGGAGGTTATTAGGCCCTGGGAGTGCCAGCACTCTGCCAGCCCCCTGCCTCCGAGACCGTGGGTAGGTTCCTGGTGGTTCATTCTGCAGCTTGAGTGGGATAAGTCAGTGACGTCTCTCCAGGTGGGGGGATGAGAGCAGCTCCTGTCACTCGGCCTTCATGACACAGGAAGTTGAAGGTGGCACAGGCATTGGGCTGCAAAGGCAAGGCTAGCATTAACCTAAGGTTAGGCCTGAAGTTACTGCTGCATGTGTAAGTTCTAGGACTGACCGTATCCTGCACTTCCACAGCAATGCCTCGCCGCCTCATGGCCTGCAATAGCAGGGAGTGCAGCCTCTCGGTCCTGTTGCCAGTGCCCACCACAACGATCTCTGGGGAAGGGAAGGATGGGTCATCCACACTAAGGGCGTGGACATAGGGGCCTTCTGCCCTCAACCCTGCCCTCAGCCTACCTATCCTGGGCTCCAGCATCCAGAAGAGGGAGAAGCTCTCCTCGGTGATGTCCAGGTGGGATCCCACCTGAACGGGGAGGGGACGGTTCAGTAAGGCAAATACAGGAGAACTTTCTTCCCAGTTCCACCACAAAAGCCACTACAAAGCCTGATTAAGAGGCACGAGGAGGGAGCTGGGAAGGCTCACGTTCCACTGCAGCATGGAGTGCGGGAGGAGTGCGCACGGTCCCAGCACGCGGTTTCCGTTGACCATGAAGCCCCAGCTGCTGTAGCTGTCGATGTACATGGAGTGCGGGAATTCGCGCTGCACCAGAGAGATACGCGTCCGCTGGTAAAGCTCGTCGTCTGCTGGCGAGAGCCGGTGCCACCGCCGCGGAATCCTGCAAGGCGAAGGGCGGGTTAGGGAGGGGGGTGGGGCCGAGCGAGGCGGAGGGCGCGGACCCAGCTCACCATAGTAGCTTTGCAAGCGGACGGCACAGCGAGAGTCGCGCCCGGAGCTGGGAACCTACGGCAAGGGCGGCGGCCATGGCTCCCTGGGCGCGCTGAGGTAGCCGAGGCCTGGAAGGGCGTCACGTCGTCGGGCCGGGCGCCTCTCAGCGCCCCCAGCGTCCGGGAGGACTGCGCCTGGTTTCTGATTTTTGTTAACAGCGCTGTTTATTACGACCTGGTCTTTTAATCGAGCATGGGAGCGGGAGGCCCGGGTCTCAAAAAAGAGCTTCCGGTGTCCGCACCTGCTGCTCGCCCCGCCTCTGTCCCGAGGGAGTCGGGACACCTGGCAGGTGAGCTGTTCTCTGGCGCAGTCCGAGCCACAGTCGCGTCCTTGCCTGGGCTCTCTGCCAGGGCACAGGCTCCTAGGGTGCGGGGCGGGGCTGCCGCCCACCTGGCTCGCCCAAGAACACCTGGCCGGGTGCGGCACCAACTCCAGGCACCTAATCCCAGGCTTTGGGGATCGAACGCTGTGGGCGGAGCGGGCGGCTAAGGTTTCCACGCCGAGCCTCGGAACCGCGGCCCTCCTCCCCAACCGTCACTCCCGCGACCGTTGGCTGCGGCGCGGCGCGCGGAGAGAGGGCGTAGCCGCGCGGGGATTGGCTTCCAGGGAGCAAGAGGGGGCGTGGCTAGGTGGTTTGGCCTTAAAATGGCTTCAAGTCTGCAGAGCCGCGAGCCGGCGGAAGGGTGAGCCTGCAGGTGGCTGTAGTGGCCGCGTGCGACGCATCGGGTGGAACTGGAGCGGACGTGAACTAGACAGCGCCCGGAGCGCCAGTACGCCTTCGCCCACTCTCAGTTCCCCAGTCCTGTCTTGAGCAGAGTCTGGGGCCTACTGGCACCCGAGCTGCTGGCGCCCGGGGCTTAGGCATCTCTGCGCGCTGGCTCTCCGTGGCCCTCGGGGATACAGTGGCGCCAGCAGCCCTTGGTTGGCGCGGACGGAAGATGGGGCTCGTCAGGCCTAGTGGGGGTCGCTCGAGGTCGGTCGCCCTGGGCTTCCAGGCTCCTGTCGCCGCCGCGTGGGTCCGTACGACCCCTGGGCGTTCCAGCCTCTGACAGCACCACCGGACAAAGGGCCCGGGCACGGGTGTCCCCGAAGTCCGCGCGAATGACTTCCTCTCCAGCCCTCGAGCGCTTCGCTGCCGGCGTATCCCGAGCCCGCCCAGACGCCGTCACTGCACCAGGGGCATCGGCTGCGTGGGACCAATAGGGCTGATACTGCCTCGCGGAACTAGGATCGGGACTCGGTCCCAGGGGACGCGCTCCCCACCCTACCCCACCCCCCGCCAGCCTGCCGCCTTCACTTCTATTGTTCTGGGGCCAGGTGAGCGCTTCGTTCTCACCGGACTCTTGTTACACCACCTCCTCCCGGTCCACCCCCTGGGACTGGGATGGGCGGTTCCGGTCCGGCCCACCAGCGGCGGGATAGCGGGCAACGGAATCCCAAAAGCAGCTGTTGTCTCGAGAGCATTCCAGCTGCGCTTGGATTTCGTTCCCTGCTCTCCTGCCTGAGCAGCGCTCTGCCCAGACACTGCCGGGCCGCTCTGGTCTCGTCCCTCCAGGTGCGCCCGACCCCAGGTGCCCGTGTCCATCTCCCGAGCTGCCCGGGAGCCCTGGCGAGGAGGCCCAGGTCCTCAGGATGAGGCGCCCGGCTCCAGTACGCTAAAGATAACCCTGCACTTCCTGGGGAAAACCACCCTGCAACCGTCTAGTGGGCCGCGAGCAGCTTTAGTCCGGCCTGGCCCAGCTCCGCTGCCAAGAGTCACGGCTGTGTACCCGCGGCGCAGAAAGTGCTTTGGAATGACACGATCACTCCCGTTGAGTGGGCACCCGAGAAGCCATCGGGAATGTCGTGTCCGCCCAGTGCTCTTTCGGCACCTTCCAGCAGGGCCCGCAGCCCTGACCTAGAAAGGGACCTTAATAAGTTCTGTCAGGAGGAGGGTGGGGGTCTTGTTCTATCGAAATGGAAACGTTTGGGAACCCATTTGGGACAGAAGAAAGGGCTTTCCCACTAACAGAAGAGCAGGCTCTGGCTAGTGAGCCTTGGCTGAATCTTACCATGGTCACCTTGTTTTAACTGGCCTAAACATATTTGTTGCCTAAGTGAAAAAAGCCTTACAAGGATTGATCACTGGTAAAGTACTGTATACCAGAGTAGAAACATTAGTGGCTGGTAATGCTGGCCAGACATGGTGACGAATTGGGATTCATTCTCTGTTCTCCTTCCTGAGCATGGGAAACTAAGGCAGGAGGATCTCTGCAAGTTTAAGGCCACCCTGAACTGCAGAGTGAAACCCTGTTTCGAAAGTAAAGCTGTTGGGGCCGTGGAGATGGCTCAGTGGAATAAGCACTTCTCTGGCAAGCGCAAGGGCCTGAGTTCAATGCCTGGTTCCGCAAAAAAAAAAAATAAATAAAAAAGAAAGTAAGCTGGCAATTCTGGAAACGACCTGAAATTTATAATTCCTTAGGTGGCAGGAAGACTAATGGGTTCGATCCCCAGCATCACATCACAGCCTCGCTGTCCACTGAGACCGGGTTGCTTGCCATGGCAGTGCACACCTGTAATCCCAGCGCTGGGGAGGCTGAAAACAGGAGGATCACCACGAGTCCGTAATGAGACCCTGTAGACTCTATACTAAAATTTAAATTAAAAAAAAGTATCTTTAATGTTACTGTCTCTTCTAATGACAACATATTTAAGACAACTTTTTCTCTCCATACGTAGGATTAAACTAGGGGCTTTCGCATTGAGCTACATTCCCATCCTTTTTTAATTTTTATTTTTCGAATTTAGGACAAGGGTATACAGAGTCTCACTACATAGATTGGACTCGCAATGATTCTCCTGTTTTCGGGCTGGGGAGATAGCTCAGTAGAACAAGTACTGAGTTCAATCCCCGGTACTGTAAAAAAAAAAAAAAATCCTCCCAAGTGCTGGGATTACAGGAGCGCCACCACGCCCAATCTCAAACACCCTCTCAGGGGCGCCCCGGGGGCGGAACGGCACGACAGGCCTGGGGATAGAACTCCCCAGTGTCTGCCTAGCCTGGCGCTTTAATCCGCTGAGCTATCTGGCTGGCCCTCACTCTTTTTTTATTTTAAATGAAGTCTCGCTAAATTACCCGGGCTGGGCTCGAACTCGAGATTCAGGGTTTACAAACTAGCCACTACACCCGGCTCCAGCTCCAACGCGTTAATCATGTTTAGCACTGTTCAATGAAACATCATCAAGACTTTAATAATGGCCTGTGCACCCACCAGGTTGTGAGGATCCTTTCTCTAATTACTAATACGGACCTTTCAGACTCGGGCCCAGGAACAAACCAGCCTGCGTACCAGGCGCCAAGGGCGGGAAACTGGCACCACCTCTGAGTTCGGACGCACCTGTTCCCACTCTAGGGTCACCTCCAGAATCCCGCCTTCTCTGGTCGGCCCTGCCGGAAGTCCCGCCTTCGGCGATTTGCTTCCGGTTCCTATTGCTCCTTCCGGTCGCCATGGCTACTGGGCGTCTCGGGGTAGGAGAGACGCTAGGCGCTCTGAATGCGGCTCTAGGACCTGGCGATCCGGTGTGGTTCAAAGAGACGCATGCCCGGCACTTGCGGGTGCGAGATTTCCTGGCGCCGCGACGCGCACTACAAGCGCGCTTCGGGGAAGGACAGGTGGGCGTGAGCCGGGTAGGGGGGTGTGAACCAGGCCTGGCTGGAATTGGCGCCCATTTACCTGCCCGCCCGCCCGCCCGCAGGTGCCCCAGCGTGTGCTCCACACCCTCACTGGCTTGCAGGGCCCCGGGGTGGCCCCAGTACTGCGCTGCGCGCAGACACCTGCCGGCTTGTTGCTTCAGCTTCGGCGTCCTGCCGTCTTCGAGCGCGTCCTTTGCGATGTGGCCTCCTATGCCACGCCGGACAAATGGGCCTCACCGGGCCTGCGCATCCTCCTCCATTGCCCGGCGCTGCGCCGCAGTTCTGGAGCGCTCACCTTGAGCCAGCTGCGTGTTGTGCTCGTAGCCGATCACCTGGCGCGAGCTCTGCGCAGTGAGGGGTAAGTGCTGGCAGAGGCCAAGGTAGAAAAGAGCAGGACCTTGTGAGCAGGTGCAGAGGGTGGCAATATGGAGCTGCTGCACAGGCTGAAGCCACCCTCCTCTCTACAGGGCGTGTGTGTGCTTAGTTCCTGCAGTGCAGGACCCGCACATGTCAACCTTCCTGCAGAAACTGCGAGTGGATTGGCCCACTGCCTCGGAAAGAGTATCGGCTGAAACCCTGAGAAGTCTCTTATTTGCAAAGTTTACCTCTGCTCAAGACCAGGAGACATTACCCCCTGGAGTCCTAGGCAGACTGGGCCTGAAGGAGCTGGTTCAAGAACATGGCTGCCGCGCTGGTTATGACCCTAACGTGGACAAGTGTCTGGGTGGGATTTCAGGCCAAGCAGAGCAGAAGAGGGGTGTACCTTTGCTCACTTGAGCAGTCTCAGCATTTGTGTTCTCTCTGTAGTGACGGAGGATCTGCTGTCTGTGTTAGCTGAGCTGCAGGAAGCTGTTCGGCATTGGCCCGAGAGCAACTACCCAGGCCTGGTTAGTGACTCCCAGTCCTACAGGCTTTTAGCAAACCATATAACCTGGATCTCTGCAGTGACTATCCTCTTCCCTTACAAGGTCAGGGCCCCAAATTTTGATGTACACAGCTGCATGGTTGTACACGTGGTGAGCTGTGAGGAGGAGTTCCAGCAACAAAAGTTGGACCTGCTTTGGTGGAAATTGGATGGCCAGGCTCCTCGAAGACAGGTAGGTTACACTGGGTGTAGTGCATGCCTGTAATCCTAGCACTCGGGGGAGGCTGAGGCAGGAGGATCATTGTGAGTTCAAGACTAGAGCTAGAGCTACAAAATAAGCTCAGGGCAACTTTTTGGATTAAACTAGGGGCTTTCGCATTGTCTTGCACTGAACTGCAAGACAAAAGAAAAAAAGACAGGTAGGTTATTCATGGAAGACTTCCCTCAACCTTAAAGGGTCCTTCAAAACTCAAGAAAAGTCCTATTAGCTGATGGATCCAGAAACTGACACTTGGCCTTGGGGGAGACTGAATTAACTAAGCTGGCATGCCCAGCAGAGTATGGAAGTCCTGAAGGTCTGAATAGTGTTTTGAAGAGCTCAGCTTGCGAAGCACCAAGCCTAGTGGTGTTAGGTTGAAGGGGGCTGAGGGTAGAGGCAGCACGTTTCAGTTTCTTGAGCGATTCTGACTATAGGTAACACTGAGGTGAGCCCCCCACTGTCTCTCACAGAAGCACCTGGTCTGTGGCCCAGTGAAAGCAGCGCTTGCACCTGGCACGCTGACTGCCGCGGAGTACTACGAGTGAGTGCGGGTAGGCCGCCCCAGCCAGGGTGGACGATACAGGGGCTGTGGGGCTGTCTCGGGACTGTACCTGCTGGTCCTCTTCTTCCCCAATGCAGGCTCCGGCATGCTCAGGTGTGCAAGGCCTCAGCACTGAAGCATGGTGGCAGTCTGACACAAGGTGTGCCTGGGAGGCTGTGGTGGTGTGCTGGATAAGGGCAGGTCATTTGCACCTCCCCTTTTGCTGTGTCTATAGAGTGATTATATATATGCTCACCCAGACCCAGAATGGACAGAGATCTTAGAGGTTCTCACTGTGGCAACCATCAAGTTTGAGATGCTGAGTACAGCCCCACAGGGGCAGGTGAGCTTGGGCATCTCGCAGGACTGAGGTTGGGGCCACAGGGTGTGATGCTACCCTCTCTGAAGCTCTGCCTCCATTCCCCAGCTTCTCCTCACCGAAAGCAGCATCTCCACAAAGGGCACCAAGAGTGGCATCTTTGTCATGTATAACTGTGCCCGTCTTGCCACACTCTTTGAGGGTTACAAGTGCAATATGGAAAAAGGTCTGTACCCCACTTTTCCATCTGTGGAAAGTCTGGACTTCTCACTGCTGCAGGATGAGGTGAGTGCCCGTCTCAGGTAGCTGGCACAAGCAGGAGGCTTGGACTTTCCCTTTAGTACCCCTGTCCCCTGCAGGGCGAGTGGCAGCTGCTCTTCAATAGTGTCCTTCCCTTCCCGGACTTGCTGAGCCACACTGGAGGCCTGGCCTGCACCGGCCCAGGGCTCTACCTGAGTGCTCGTACAGAGACAGTGAGTCAGAACACCAGGACAGACACAACACATTCTACTTTATTCTGGGCCTACTACACAGCCAGTGACTCGAATCTCTTGTCTCTAGGTATGCAAGTTCCTGGTACAACTCAGCATGGACTTCAGTTCATACTACAACCGGGTACACGTCCTAGGGGTGAGTGCACAGCAAAAAGGGGTATGTGGGAGATGCAGAGGGGTACAGAGTGAAGGTAAGGGAAGCAAAGGATGAGACCAGTAGGTCCCTTCTCCTTTAGGAGCCTCGGCCACACCTCTTTGGTCAGATGTTCGCCCGCCTGCAGCTTCTGAGGGCTGTTCGTGAGGTGCTCCATGCTGGCCTTGCGATGCTGGGTCTCCCTCCACTGAACCATATCTAAGGACACAGAGGGCTCAACATCTAGGAATGTTTACAAAATCTTCAACTAGGAAAAGAAAACAAAAATCACATTTTAGGACCTTGGAACCACAATAAATTGATTGTGTTACAAAGTTTTGTGCAATTGTGGGAAGCAGGGTGTCCCCTTAGACTACTCACCTCTAGTCCTGCTCTGGAGTCAGGAACCCACGGCCACCTCCCCTCGAGATATGCTGGGCATAGGCACAGACAGTTGATCCCTGTTCCACTGCCTGTGAGCAGGCCCCATACCCAGCACACCGGCCACCGTGGGACACCTCAGTCATACCAGTTGTAAACCTCAAGCCCTTGGCCCCCAAGAGCACAGCGGTGGCCAAACTCAGGGCTCACAGGCCAGCAATCCATATCGGCCACATCGGGTACATGGTACACAGTGCTGTTCATGAAGGTGGGCTCACCATGCCCTAGACGCCAGAATGTCAGCCGCTGGTCAATGGAGGCTGAGACCATGAGGGTGGGGCTCAGGATCTTGAGGCCTGTCACATGGGCAGCATGGGCACAGGGCACAGAGTATTCTTCTAGCACATGCAATTGAGGCATCAGCTCTGGCTCACCCACAGCTTCTTCCAGCTCTGGTGCCTTCACAGCTAACACAAAGACATGGAGGGAGCCATCCTCACTGCCACTGGCCACAAGATGGTGGCCCTCACGTGTGGGCATGGTGTGCAGGCTGTTGATACCACAGCTGTGGGCCTGGAGTGTCAAGCAGGGAGTGCCCAGCTCTGGAGGGAGAAAATGGCTTTTAGAGCCCTTAATGTGTGAGGCAGGGTGAGAGGTGGGGAAGGACAGCCCTAATGCACACTAGTTACGCACGGTAGGGAAGGCCAGGCTCCGCTGGAGGCTCCAGGAGAGCAGAACCATGGTCCAGCACTGTGGTAAGGTCCCAGAAGGCCAGGCTGCCATCAGTCGCTGCACTGCACAAGAACAGCCGCCTGGGAACAAGGGCAGGGTGGCCATAGGATTAAGAGGGATGGAGAACAATAGGAATCCCCTTACTACCTAGGAAGGACCACCGTCCAGCCCCTCCTCACCGCTGCTGATTGGGTGCTTCGTGTGTAAAGGAGTGGACCTTGAGAACACAGCGCTCATGATGGAAAGTTTCTGCAAAGAGCTGTAGAATCCGCCCAGAGTCCTGCAAGACAAAGAGCCTAGGGGCAAGAGGGTGGCCCACATCAGAACTCATCCTGGACCACTCAACCCTTGGTCTCCACCCACTGCACCCCTACGCGCTTACCTCACTGCACCATCACTACAGGCTGCAGCCACAAGGGGGCCAACACCAGGCCTGTCAGGTTCGCAGATAGCAAGGGACATGTACCTAAGACAACAGAACTGTCAGGGTTAGCCTGCAAATGTGGGGACACCTGCCCTGCACAGTGATACCATCTCACTCCCCCTGGGAGTATGCATTACCTGGTTTCAGGGTCCACCTTGACCATCCGATGCCGATTGCGCTGCTGGTCCCAGTAGTCATCTAGCCGGTGGGACGAAAGGTGCATTACGTGGCAGGCAAGGCCACTTGGGGTGCCAGAGTCAGGACTGACTACGATGCTGAAGCAGTGCATCTCTGCTCGACCCCCTGCAGATACTATGTTGGCGGTCAGACCTGGCTGGGGACTGTGAGAGCCCCCTGGGGTGCCGAGTCCCCATACAGCCATGGCTCGCACAGAAGAGATATGATTGCAGACAGCTGTGAGGGCATGGGCTGAGCCTGTGGTGGTGGGGAGTGCCAGGACACAGACAGTAGTGTCCTCACTGCAGGTGATCACGATGTCAGTCAGCCCAGGCCCCTCACTTCCAGGCTCCAGGAAGTCGGGCTGCTCCAGGCAGGGCACTTGAAACTCGGGCCCCAGGGTGATGGCGCCTACACGTTTTACACAGGTGATCTCCCGGCCGTGCAGACCCTCCCGGAGGATCACATGTGGCCGGGTACAGCCACCCAGAGCCTGGTATAACATGACATCTCCATCCTTAAGGTAGGCAAAGGCCATGGCTGCTTCAGTATCAGAGAAGGCCCAGGAACGGTGCCCTCCTCCACAACTGACAACATGCAGCTTCTCATGTGACCGTGGGCTCCATACCACAAATTCATTGGCATGGAAACCCAGGATGACCATGCTACCATCAGGTACCATGTGAAGCCCAGCCACCCAGTTCATGCCCCTACATGTCTTCTGCCGTAGGACTGGTTGGAGCTGGCCACCTCGCACCAAGAGCTGGTAGTAGGCACCATCCCGCCCTGTGCTATACACATACCCAGCATGGCAGGTGACCGAAGTCACACCCTGTTTCCCATGCAGAGAATGAAGGGTAGACACAGGGCTCCACTCAGCTACAGCATTACTGCCATCAGTGCCACTGTCCCCTCCAACTGGCCCAGATCCAGCCTCCGCCTTGCCTCCGACCCCAGGGTCCTTGAGCACTTCTGGTCTGGAAGGGAAGAGCAACACAGAGCCTCGGCGGTCTCCACACACCAGGAAGTCACCTGGGGGCACAAAGGCACTGCATGTGTGCCACCTCTGCTTGCTTGGGGGGAGCAGGTACCGGCAACGTTCTGTGACAAAGATGGCCTTGCCAGAGAGTGCGGCTGAGATCTCTAGGCAAGCCATCACTCCCCCAGGACCAGAGGCCAGCAACAGGAGCTCCTCATAGCCACGCAGAGCCCAGCTCAGGCTGTGGACTTTGCCAGCGAACAGGCCATGGTCCACAGCAGCAGTCGGAGTGTTGATGGGGACAACCTTAACACAACCTTCCCCATTAGCCATGGCACACAGTCCCAAGCCTTCAGGACCAGGAGCTGCCTCCAGCAGGCAGTAAGACTGGAAGTGTTTATCCTCTAGCAGCTTCTCCCAACATTTGACCTCCAGATCATAGAGGTACAGGGCACCTGTATCAGTCACAGTCAACAGTCGCCAAGAGCCAGCCAATGTCACAGCCTTGAGGGTCCCTGGCCTGCTAGGGGACTTAAAGCTGAGAGCTGAGACTCCTAATCCTGGGTATCCACGCCCTGCCAGGTGCCACAGCCGAATGCCCGAGTCATCACCCCCAGTGATAACCCAGGCCTGCATCTCATGAGCAGCCAAGGCCCGGATCCCACGGCCCTGGTGGCCCCGAAAGGCTTGGAGGATCTCACCTTCATGACTCCATACCAAGCAGACACAGTCCTCCCCTGCACTGATAAGGTAATTCTCTAGGAGCTTGACCTGCCACACACGGGCACTGTGCCCGAAGCAGTGCCCGATATTCTGCACCCGACCCCCAGGCACCCGCAGATCACCAACTTTCCAGATACGAACACTTCGGTCTTCTGAAGCTGTTGCCAGCAAACCTTTGCTTTCCAGGTAGGACATGCTGAAGATGACACCCACATGCCCACTGACCCGTCGGTCAGGTGCCACAGGCTTGTTGTCTGCTAGAGCAGCTGCTGGGTACCAGACTAGGAGCTGGTTGGAAATGGCACCTGCCACAACAGTTAGCTCCTTCCAAGTATCTCCAATCAGGCAGGCTGAGGAGAGGGTGCACCTGTCTGTACAGGGCACATCTTGCAGCATGCACCCTACCACTGGGTCATAGAGCAACACTGAGTTGTGACCCAGGGCCAGGGCCACGTTGCCTTCAAGCCAGCGTACATCCCAGATCCAGTCGGACATGTTCCATAGGCCAGAGCGCCAGAGCTCCCGGAAGCGGCTCTGACCCCAGCTAATCTTCACAATTCGGAGTCCCTTGCTTCCAAACACAGCTACCATGGCCTCTGAGTCCAGGTCTCCATTGGGCTCTGGCCGAACCCGGAACCCATGGATAAGATAGTGGCCAAGCAGGTTCTGCACTCTCTTCATCATCCGAAGATGTCCACCAAAGTCCAAGCTGTATACCAGGACATCAGGCCCCTCACCTAGACAGAGTCAAAGAGCCACATCAGAGATGCTCACCTGAGTCTGCTGACTCACTGGGAAGAGGCACAGTAGTGAGCCTTCTCAGTATGTTTCCTATATCATAATACAAAGTCCCACAGCTTGAACCTTAGCAAATCCTTCATCTAGGCTTCTGCTGGACTTGCTCATTGTTTTTAGAAATGGGGTCTCATTAGGTAGTTCAGGCTGACCTTGAACTCACAATGTAGTCTAGGCTGGGCTTGAACTTCCAGTTCTCCTTCTGCCTCTGCCTCCCTGTGCTGGCTGGGATTACAAGTGTGGGCCACATCTGACCCTGCTGGGCTCGGCAACTTTCACCCTGCAACTTTCTGCTTCATTCATTAATGACTTTTCTGTACTGAGAACTGAATCCAAAGCCTTTCACTGAGCCACGTTGTCAACATTTTCATCCTTTTTTATCTTTTATTTTCAAATAGGACCTGATTAAGTTGATAATTGCCCAGAGTGGGCTTGATCTTTTGATCCTCCTGTGCCAGGCTTCTAGAGAGTTGAGATTATAAATATGTGCCACCATATTCAGCCAAACAGGTAGAATTTAAAAATTGGAGCGTCCAGGTATTATCCTAGCACTTGGAAGGTTGAGGCAAAAGGATCCACATGAGTTTGAGGACTGCCTGGGGTACACAAGTGAGTTCAAGGACAACCTAACCTATATAACAGGACTCTGTCTGTCTGTCTCTCACATATACACACAATATAAATAAAACATTTTTTAGGGCTGGTGAGATGGCTCAGTGGTCTAAAGCACCTACTTAGAACAAGCTCAGCAAAGCACAGGGACCGCGGTTCAATCCCCCAGCACCACATGCCAGCCC